ATGTGTTCCCTCCCTCCCTCCCTCCCATAATCTGAAAGTCCAGTTTATAAATTCTAGTCTAAAAGCCTTCTTTAATAATAAATATCCATTCTCTTTTGCAGCTACTGCAACTTGACCTTCAAATATCATGTTTTCCCATATATTATGTTATACTTTGTGATAACTCAATTATGGTTTTAGTTTCTTTATTTGAACTGTCTCAAAATCCTCGTATTTTAAAACAAAAGCCTCTAGTAATAGTTTCTGAGAAAGTTCTTACTGCCACAGCGCCACCTACTGGTAGACCATTATAGGAGCAAACTGTTCGGAGCTCAACTTTGACCCAGTTTTGGAGCGTCCTCCTAAGCTTTGGTTTATAAAGCCCCAACTTCACTGTCATTTTGAGAAGCTAGACCTTCTTTTGGTAGCTACTAAGTCTCTTGCTGTAGTATAAAGTCAGCAAGTGAAAATGATAAAAATATGCTCTTATTCTTACTGTTACCTTAAATTGGCCCTGACTTCACCGACTTTGATTTTCTCTGTCCTATAACTGTAGCAAGGGCTCCAGATTGTGTGGGCAAGGGTTTGGATCTGGCGAAAATAACTTGGGGAGCGTCCAAAGATCCTGAAAAATGGAAAAAAGAATCCCTATTTAACACTACGTTTGATTTTGGCCCAAAGGACACAAGGTAAAACCTAAAACTAGGTTAAGGGGATCACTGTCCCCCCAGATACTGCCACCCCACTTCCTGCCAAATTCCAATTCACAGTCTCTCTTTTGCTTTCGAACAGCGTAAACGTGGGTGATCAACCCAAATTCTTACCCCTCTGGCTCTGGAGAGAAAATCTCAGGAGCAATCAGGGGGATAGGACACTCATTTTCAGTTTTATGCGATTATACTCCAGATCCACCCAGGAGCTCCAAAAACTATACAATACATGGTGAAAAGAGTAAGAATCTGATCATGAAAATAGGTCATTCTGTTGAGAGCTGCCAGGCAAGTAATTTCACTTGAAAGTTAAAGTGACATCTAGATCCTTAGGGTTTTAGCTCCACGGCGTTTACTACATAATAATGTTCCTTTCTCTTGTTTGTCTCAGGGATCCAATGAAGTGGGCAATCAGAATCACACTGATGTGCTGTTGCTCCATCCCCATCCAAAAAGCACAAAGCTATAGTGCATTTTACTAGGGCCAGAAACAGAGAACATTTAATAAGGACACTGCTCACTGCTTGCAAATGAAATCCATCATTGATTTTCTAAAGGTGGTAAGGTCCCTTCCACCAACTGCAGACTAGTAAGAGCTTAAAAATAAAAGGAGGGAGAGGTTGGGCTCCAGAACAGGAAAGGCTTAGGCAGAAGCTAAGGGGCAGGGATGAGGGCAGCTGCTGTGGCTTCAGACTCCTACGGTAATGGTAGTTTACATTATCAAATCAGCACGAGAGAAATGTCAGTTATCTAATCTGTTGCTCTCTGCTATTTTAGTTTACCATCACCACTTCAGAACTCAAGAAGAACACCACAGTTATAAAGAAGGAAGGCCAATGACTCTGGCTTTGGGCCAAGAGCTCTCACTCCAGCTTCCTTCTCAAGTTTCCATATTTGCTGACTCTAAACCTTCCCTTCCATAGCAAACTACAAATATAAAGCCTGAGGTTGGAAAGCCAAGGAAAAGCCACATTCATGGAGTACTCCAGGCACTCTGCTAGGAGCTTTCAATTCACTATCTCATTTAATGTTCATAATACCAAGAATGCCATTAAGCCACCATCAACAGGAAAGGACTCTGAGTTGTTTTTCAGCAGTGCCCCGGGATGAACCACTATCTCATTCAGACTGCTAGAGAAACACTCACACAGCCGAAAGCCTGGCTGACAAGACTTACGGGAAGAGTTAAAGAATGAGAAAACAGACTTCTGCTATAGTCATGGACTCAATATCATGTTTAATGGACTGAATTAACTGGACCAGATGGGCTAAATGCCTTTCAAAGATGGTTCAGGGATTCCTACATAGGCACACACTTACCAGGTCTCAGGCAGAAGTGTAAACTTTTAGACTTATTATGAGAGTTATTCTTCTTTCTTGTGGGTTTACAGAAAAATGCTGCTACTAGCAACCTAATCTCCTTTTTGTAGGATATCCTTCTGAACCCCTAGAATGGCTTGAAATCTACTTGTAATATAGAAAACAAATGATTTGCAGTTCAAACGTTGGTGTGCCTGGCAGTTACTTACTAGTTGTACAAATAACTGTAACAGATTCAGTTACTAATGCTGTGAAAGTAAAATGTTCATTGGGAAGTATGGAAAATGCCTGAAGCTTACTATATCATGCACCTCAGTGTTTCTTTAACTAAGGATCAGGAACACCAGAAAAATCAGAGTAGAAACAAACCCAAAAAGTTCAGAGGCCCAGAGTCTCTCGGTGACAAAAGCAGTAAGTAATAAACTACCTAAACAATGTAAGAAGAATGATCTGCTTGTTACCATAAGGTAGAATCAGCAGGGAAAAGTCACTATGAGAAGCCAGCAAGAAATACAACTTCTTTTCCTTGCTCTGTGGTTTCATATTGACACCAAGTTCAGTATGAGTGCCACAAAATCTTCTAAATAACTTTACCAAGAGTCAGTAAACACTAATTCACGGTCAAGATGCTGCAAGTATGACCCACCTGACCACCCAAGTTTCCAACTGGCTCAGCTGGAGTGCATGCAAAGTTCAATTCAACACTTAATTTATCAATTAGACACACAAATGAAGTATAGTCAGGGATCTCCTTGGGTTTGTGAATCTTTCCAGCTGAAGCAAACATGAAGAGCCAAAGGGAGAGAAGTTCTAACATGTTATCTCACAGAAGTCCTTCACACTTGGCCATGATTCCCTTGTGCCATTACTTTGCAGTCCGTAACAATCCCAGGTGAAAGTTTACTTTCTTAAAAATATAGTAACTATCATGTTCTAGTAATTCTTTCTTTTCTTTTTTCATTTGGAGGAGTGAGGTGAGTAGATACTCATCAAGTATTTCTTGAATTCAGGCTCTAAAATTTTCAGTGGAGAACAAATCCTTATACTCCTATCATACTTCCAGGGATCAGTGTGGCTGGGGACTGGGGCAGGAGCAGGGAGTGGAAAGAGAGAAGGTTGTGAGGTAGTAGTGGCCTGGGTGTAGTTATAGTAGTTATAGCACCTTCCCTATATACTTCTTCATTTAATCCTCACTATAAGCCTATGAGATACATATAATTATCCCCAGGATGTAGTCAAGTAACTGGCTGCTTTTTTTTTTTTTTAATTAGAGGTAGGGTCTTGCCCTGTCACCCAGGCTGGAGTACAGTGTGGCAGGATCACAATTCACTGCAGCCTTGAATTCCTGGGCTCAAGTGATCCTCCCAGCTCAGCCTCTTAAGTAGCTAGGACTACAGGCAGGTGCCACCACACCTGGCTAATTAAAAAACTTTTTTTTTTTTTTTTTTTTGTAGAGATAGGGTCTCACTTTGTTGCCCAGGCTGGTCTCAAGAGATCCTCCTGCCTTGCCCTTCCCAAGCATTGGGATTATAGGCATGAGCCACTGCACCTGGCCTGAGCTTCCCAGAGATCTTGTAATCATTTTAAGGTGTATGATGTCAATCCCTGACCCCTAACCACCCAGCCCCCTCCTGCTTAAAATTCCTCGATGGCTCCTTATTGCTGTCAGGGCAATGACCAAGTTCCCTGCATGGCTCATAAACATAAACTGGCCCTACTACCTTGCAACCTTTTCTCTTTCTACTGCCTGCTCATGCCCCAGTCCCCAGCCACACTGATCCGTGGAAGCCTGTGGAACACAGCCCGTTTTCACTCCCCCCGGGTCTTTGCTTGCACTGTTCTCTCTTCCTAGAACTCCTTCTGCCCATGCCTTCCCTCTCCTGGCTGACTCGTCCACATTCCAGTGTCAGCTTCGATGTTTTTCCTCTAGGAAGCTGTCCCCAGTCCCTAAAGATCTGGGCTCGACTGCTCAGGTTCAAATACTGCCCCACCGCTTACTAGTTGTGAGACTTTAGACAAGTTTTATAATCTGCCTGTGCCTTTATTTCTTCAGCCGTCAATGGGGAATATAGTTTCTACATTACGTGCCTGTTCAGTGAACAAGTGAGTTATTACACATAAAGCATTCAGAACTGTGTCTGACACATAGCAAATCCTCAGTCAATGTTGTCTGTTGTTACTCCGTGTGTCTCAGGCATGCAATAATACCCACTTTGCAGCACATTCCCTGCTGACTTTTCTATCTCCTTGAGTCTTTAAGTTCCCTGAGAGCAGACTGCCTTGTTCACCCTGCGTGCATCTCAGTGCCCAGCACGTTATTTTCTCTAGAGTAGATACTCAATAATAAATACTTGTTCAATTGAATTGAAGGGTTTTTCTTTCCATTTTCTGACTTATCAGTGCATTTTTATTAATTATTATTCATAGAAAACTATCTCTGGACCAAACACCGCCTAAGTTATCTGTATGCACCTACACTGAGAGGCTTCAGGCTGTCAGTAACAACCTGTCCACAGACCATGGCATTGGCACAACACGTAGATCAAAGAGCAGAGCTCCAGTTCTGCGTCCACGCACGACTTTCAACAAGCCCTCAACTTTCTGAGCCTGTTCCTCATGTGGAGGGGATAAGATCAAACTCACAGGGCTGTGTGAGAATTAAGTGAGAGATAAAACATGTGGAAATACAACATAAGCAGTGAAATACCAGTCAATATGGGGCATTTTTATTAAATGCTGCAAATCTGATAGCATTTTACAAGACTGTGAGGTTTCATTTACCCCAAGCTAGTTCCAGAAAATGCCTATTTTAGGCTGCCAAGATTATTTTAAAGAAGCATGTAACAAAAATGCCCATTTGCCAATGTTTTAAGAGGCTGGATGTTTCATTCTTTGAACTGGGGCTCTCTTTGGAGGCAGAAGAGAGAATGTGCCAAGCCCAACACCTTCCCTGTCACCTATCCAGCTACAGAAGAGCTGGTGCCCACTAACCTGTGGAGCTGGTGATGGGCACAAAGGCTGCAGGGTTAAGGCTGCTTTGGAGTCCATTCAGCTGCGCATCTGCGGAGGACCCTCTGAAACACAAAGGAGCTTGGTCAGACCTGCAGGCGGAAAGGTGAGGTTAGGCGCAGGCCCTCTGATGGCTTCGCTTCTTGTTCTTGGTGCTTCTCCTGTGGCTCATTCCCTCGCTTCCTTCAAGGCTTTGTTCAAATGTCACTTTATCAGAGAAAACTATGAGCAACCTCCACACTTCTGAAATAGTATATATTTTGAGATTTATTGTTAATTTCTTCCTACTGAAATGTAGCGTCACGAAAGCATGGGCTTTCATCATTGCTGTGTCTCCAGTGCCTAGAATAGTGCCTGACACATAACTGGTACTCAATAAATAGTTGTTTATTGAATGAATACATCACGTTTCTGGCATTGACTTACATAAATCATATGAAAACACATTTTTAAAAAAGCGCAAGTCTCATGTGGAACAGTGGTTTTCAACTGGGGAAGTGGGGAGGGAGAGATGATGCGTCCCCTGAGCCAACCGGGGACATCCGGCAATGTCAAAACATCTCTAGTTATCACAACTGTGGGGTGCTACTGACAGCTAGCGGGCAGAGGCCAGGAATACTGCTACGCACCCCACAGCACACAGGAAAATGCCCCAAAGAATTATCTACTCCATGGTGTCAATAATCCCGAGATTGAGAAATGTACATAGCATCTCCCCTCGTGCCAACTTTGACAAGAGATACGACAGAGTATATTTGATTCTTTGGGCAGAGGTTCCCGAGCCACATGTCTCAGAAATCCCAGAACTGGTCTGATTGCCTACAGCCCAAGTCAAGCCTCCCTGTTATAGGCTCTTACAGCTCTAATTCTTTCTTTGCATTTTTCAAAATTATACTTATGAAACTGTGTAACTGGTTGCTTAGTATCCATCATCCTTGCTAGAATGTAAGCTCCATAATGAGAGACTGTATTGGTCTTATTCACTGCTGCTGCATTTTGCACACATCAAATATTTATAAATTCTGTTGAAATATTTGTAATATTTTTGTTGTATATTTATAATATAATATTTTTGTTGGGTCCACCTGCCTTGATTTTAGTTGATGAGTAAAAGTTGTACCTGGGAGATCAAAGCTTTCACATGCTCAATTCTTTGTTTTTGTTGAGCAACATCCAATCCAACCTTTAGTATCTCTCTCCTGAAACTATTTTTCCAGTCATTCATTCACACAAGAAATATTTATTAAGCATTTCCTGTGTTCTGTACTAGTGAGGAGAGACATGAAAGCAAATACATAAAACACAAACTGTGTGCTAAGTGCTAAAGAGAAAAAGCACACAGTGTTATGAGAACGAGGCAGGGGAACCTGGTTGAGATGATGAGGACAGTGGTCAAGGATGGTCTTTCTGAGGAAATAAGATTTCAGGGGAGTCACGAAGTTAGGAGAGGTAGGCATTAGCCAGGAGGAGGCAGAGGAAAGAGCGGTTCACGAGGAAATAGCATATATAATGGCTCTGAGGCAGAAAGGGGCTTGGAATGTCCTAGGAACCTTTGAAGACCAGCTAAGGGAATAGGATAGGGGTAGGGATAGGATAGGGGTGGGGATAGGATAGGGGTGGGGATAGGATAGAGGTGGGGATAGTCAGGCAGTGTTTGCTGAACGTCTTTGACAGGAATGACCTGGGGTCACTTGTTAATCACAGCTTTCCAGGTGGGCCTGGGGGCAGCGCCCCAGGTGCCCAGGTGATTCATATCATCACTGGCTAGTAGGTAAAGAGGAAAGTGGTATAAGGTGCACCTGGAGAGTCAGGTGGCGTCTGAGGTACCCACATAGTCCCTACATCCCTGAAAGAGGCATGCCACTTGAGAGGATTCTAGCCCAGCATTGGCGCAAGGATCACACTGTCTCATAGCCCCTCCCCTCTGGCAAGCAATTTGGGGCCTACCCTCTCCTTTCCACTTTCATTTTGAGGACAAGGGAGCCACAGAGGCAGGAGAGAAAGGAGCAGAAGGCTTCTCTCTTTTCCCATCAGCCTTGGTCTTGGAGAGCCACATCTGAAATCCTCATGCATTTTATTTCAGCCCCTTATGGGACCCGAAAACTCTCCCAAAGCATCTGTAGCTGATGTCTGCTCTTTCATGTCCAAGTGAAAAAGTTCTGGAGGGCCTAAGATAAGCTCTTTCCTTTACAGAAGTTAAAAACCATTAGAGCCACTGTGCTTGCTTTAGGAGCAGCTGAGTGGAGCAAAGCCCTGGGCTGGTCTCAATTTCACAAAGTATTAGTGGTTAAAAAAAAAAGAGGGGGGAAGAAGCTGGCAAAATCTTTGGGTCAGTAGAAGAAACTGGTAGTGAGTAATAGAAAACTGCCTGAGGGATTAGAAGAGTCCCTGGGGGGTTAGACTCAAGGAATTCTGGGTCCCTAAAACTCTTGAAACTTTTTCCTCTCCTCTCTGGAACCCCCAACCCACCCTTCACCTTCTTAGGCTTTATCCTGTTCCCTTCCCAAGATCCTCTAACCCTATGGCCCCTGGTTCCCAGTTTCACTCACTCTTCCATCCTCCTCCCTCCCATAAACTCCCATCAAAGGCCTTAGAGGCCACCACAGATTCAGAATTTGAACATTTCTAATGATTCTACTGTTTCTAGCATAGAGTCCCTATTCTCCCTGTGATGTAGAAATGTGTCCACAGCAATCCAAGGGGAAACTCTTGAGTGAATTTTTCCATGGAAACACTGGTGCACAAAATGGTTTAGGTCTGTTATTACTGCTTTAGGCACATTATGGGTAAATATGCTTTTGTTGTGATAACATCATTTCCTTGGGAAAATATATTCCAACTTCTGGACAACCTTCCTCTAAATGAGAACTTTTGAAACACAGCTTGTCTAGAGCCTGTATGTCAATTTGCACTTGCCCCTGCAATGATTCTTTGCTGCTTTCCTGGGAATACATGTTTTAGGAAATATTTACATCGGGAGTTACGTCGGGACTAACACCTGGATAACAGGACCTACCTTATAGGATTTTGAAGATTAAGTAAGATGGTGAATATAAAGCACATCTAAGCAGTGACTGGTGTTATATCATGGACTAAATATACATTGACTATTAGTATCAGTATTGTCATTTTTACTTAGGAACACTGCTTAACACTCTCTGCATTCACTGTAAGTCTATCTACATACAGAAATATCAAAATGAATGACTCACTGACTGCAACATCAGTCTGGAATATTAGTGCTAAACTACAGAAGAATGGCCATAGGCATTCTGAACCTGGAAGTTAACAGCAATTTGCTATTAAAGTTACAAGGTAATTAACTGGCAACCTATAAGACAAAAATCTCATAGTAAAAATTATTCTTAAGATCCCTTAGGAAGAGATGTCACATTTGAGATTGACAGGTTATCTCTTAATAAATCTAATATGTACTTTTCTGCCAGTGTCAGAATGATTTGCTCAACTGTGCACCAAATGAAGTAGGTTTGTATTTAGAAAAGTAGGCTTGTACTATGGGATCATGTTGTATAAACTATGTATTTTTATTTTTTTGAGACAGGGTCTTACTCTGTCACCCAGGCCGGAGTGCAGTGGCACAATCACAGCTCACTGCAGCCTCAACTTCCTGGGCTCAGGTGATCCTCCTACCTCAGCCTTCCAAGTAGCTGGGACTACAGGTTTAGTAGTCCCACCATGTCTGGCTAATTTTTGTGTTTTTTGTGGAGACAGAGTTTTGTCATGTCACCCAGGCTGGTCTCAAAGTCCTGGGTTCACACGGTTTGCCTGCCTTGGCCTCCCAAAGTGCGGGGACTATAGATATAAGCGACTGCATCTGGCCTAAAATATGTATCTTTAAGCATGAGAGTGACAGTGCAGTAGAAAGGCCCATGGGAACTGCTATTAGAAAGGCCCATGGGAACTGCAACCGACTGGAGTGACATTTCTCCCATCTTTTCCTAAGTGTAAAATCAACTGGAATCACCTACTTTATTGAAATTATAATCAATTTCTCTTTCAATAGCTGAATGTATAAAGTTAATTATGTGTTTGATACAGCTTCATTATCTGATGTTCTCTGGTCATAGTACACCAGAATATAAAGAAGTGGCTAAAGATGAAGTTAGAAAAACTGGAGTTATAGCAGTATCAAGAGTTTGACAATAAGAAATACTGAAAAGATGGAACAAAAAGGTGCCATTAACTTTACATTACACAAAAGTTAGAGTTCAAACATGAGGAGAGTGATAGATGTGAACATCTAGTCCTTAATTGTTCTTCCTGGAAATGGCGCAACTGTCTGCGAGATGGGAAGCTGCTTGATGTAGTTAAAGGTTGAGAGTAAGAGACTTACTACAATCTCAGCTGTAGTAATGGTCTTATTTAGGTTCCTCTCTGAGGATAAACTGTCAATGATTATTAAAAACTGCTTAAATCAGGTGTGGTGGCTCATGCCTGTAATCCTAGCACTTTGGGAGGCTGAGGCAGGTGGACCTGAGGTCAGGAATTTTGAGACCAGCCTGGCCAACATGGTGAAACCCCATCTCTATTAAAAATATAAAACTAGCCAGGTGTGGTGGCTCACGCATGTAAAACCAGTTACTTGGGAGGCTGAGGTAGGAGAATCGCCTGAACCCAGGAGGCAGAGGTTGCAGTGAGCCAAGATTGCGCCATTGCACTCCAGCCTGGGTGACAAGAGTGAAACTCCCGTCTCAAAATAAAAAAAAAAAAAGAAAAAAAACAAAACAAAAAACAGCTTCAGAGTAGGCTGCCTGATTAATTTAGCCACTGAAAAACTATAAGAAACGTGACCACATATAGTAGCAAAAAAGAATTTGAAGAACTCAATGAATAGTTGCATGCTCCTCTCTATGAAGGCAAAATCTCTTTCCTTGGGACATGTTCACAGCTGGCAGCTACAGAGTTTCCTTAAATATTACATGTACAGTTCCTAACCCTGAATTCGACTCACTTGCTTCACATCTACCTACTCATCTTGCCTCTGCCATTTGTTTGAGGTCTGAGAAAGCATCTCACATGAGCATTATTCCTACTCTGAGGGAAC